AATTGCTTATGCTACTAGCCCTCGAGCTAGTCTCAAGCAACATCGAGCACATATTTGAACGGATACCTTTTTAAAAACCTTCAAATGTATGATGTAAATTAAACTACTGAATGAATAACTTTTTATGGATTTATCGCGTTTATTCACGGGACAGACCATCAACTCTGAAAAGGGTTCGAAACGTCGGGAAATAAAATTAAACAGAAACACGTATACAATTCGTAAGTTTAGTTTCATTTAGTAATAGTGTAATCGCGTAAATACAAGAAATTTTCGTTTTATTACAGTGTCGAAACTTAAGCTTTTAATGATTCATTGTATTATTTACATTAAGGTATTAAATAATTAATCTTCATTTACAAGCCGTTTTTCTTAAGCACAATTTCTTATTCCGATATAAATTCGATTTATTCTGACCAATTGTAGATTATATTATATACCACAATGAGTCGAAGTAGCATTATATGGATTAAATGGAGCGTGTTTTCTTTATTAGGGTTCCGTACCCTAAGAGTAGAACGGGACCCTATTACTAAGACTCCGCTTTCTGTCTACATGTCTGTCTGTCACCAGGCTGTATCTCATGAAAAGTGATTACAATTTTCACAGATGATGTATTTCTGTTGACATAACCAAATATAATAAAAAAATATTTAAGCGGGGCTAAAATACAACAGACATGATTTTTGTTCCGTTTTGTAGATAAAGGTACTTGGTCGGTTTTTAGTTCTGATGGTTTATGGTAAAACTAAAAAAAAAAAAGCAAGTTAATATTCTGATGCAACTGGTATTTTATGCGAACGTAAATCGTGTGTCTACGGTCGGGGCGTAGACTTTATTTTATTTTTTAATAGTCGATGACATTCCATTATGACCGCTCGTTCATTACGAGATAGGGCATTATCTCGGCGTAACGGGCGTATATTAAGCAACGCATTAAAGGCAAACAATGATATCGCCGACGTGAAAAGGCTTCTACCATTACCGAGTGGCGGATAAGCCTGCCGGAAATTATAGGTCATTACATCGTTATGAATTAGTATCGCGCACTAGTGAGAGATATAAAATTTATCATACTTGCGATGGCGTCGCATATTTTACACTTCAAATAATGACGGACCTGCCCATTCATGCAACAGTTATCTTACTTGCGTAGCTCTACCACAGTCACACTAAAAATTCAAATGATAATGGAATGGGCACGGGTAGCAACGGGCTGCCCATTCCCGAAATTCGGATTAAGTATAATGCCTTGGGGAAGGTATTTGTGCACCAGTGGACTACAATTGACTGGTAAGTATGATAAGGAAGTAAAACAACTGCGAGTATCACAACCTTAGTAAAAGTACGATAGGTAATGGATCACTAACATATTTGTAATATACATACGAAACATGTCAGGATATTCGAGTAACTTCTGATAAGAGTGTTGAACCAAGTAAAACTTAAACTCATACTATTTATAATATTCAATTCAAAAACCAACAAAATTCTTATGTCACCGTGTCTAAATTTTTCATTCGCCTTAGAAGATGCAAAACATTGCAGTTTAATTATTTTCGGTTAATTAATGAAAAACAACTGAACATTGCTGTAACTAAATAATCATTTTAATTTACAAACAATGAATATTGTTTTATAGGCATGTCGTGAGATTTAGTAGGCAGTAGATATAAAACAGTTTTATTACAAGGAGCATTTATTGAATCGTCTTAACGAGTGATAAGGATGCACTTTCATTATTGAAAATTGAAATAGGTATATATTGGTAATTCAGATGTCAATTTTGAATAATTATTTTCCTTGTAGTGACATAGAGACATAAGTGACAGGCCTCGTTCTAGGCAGACCTATAATTACAAAAACAAACAGAGTTTATATAGAACAAACACAAGTATAGTACAGGTTATATGTCCCACTGCTGGGCATAGTCCTCCTCTGTACTGAGGGTATTACGACGTAGACGCGGATTGGCAGACTTCGCAATATTCACGACCTAACACCTGATAAGTCATCACCTAGAATTGTAAACAACAATTTGACTGACGGCACGGTCATTGAACTCAGATCAAGTCGTGCTATCTCAGTTTCCGGGCACTCGCTTCTAATATACTCGAGCAATAATATAATATACTCGTGCAACCTCAGTTTAAATAACACTCATCAATTATTCCATTAGGCATAACAGTCGTGATATTACGAACATTTTATTAATACTTCCAATCATCCTCGTGATTCAACAGACGTCTTTCATTTTTTTTTTCTTATTAAAAATTTGTACCAAACCTCATTTCGAAGTTTTATAACATCCCGAATCACAGAATCCCAGGATTCTAACTTTTTATTCGGCACACGTTACAAATTTCCTTTTTTACTTGTAATATTTTTCTGTTTATTTATATTAGATGATACTTTTTAATACTGTTTTGAGGAAAGTAACTTTATTCTTCGTTTTCACACGTTAAATATTTTGGTATTTTTTTTATTTGTTTTGAATATTTTTCCTTATATACGTCAGGTTTGACGATCGTCAATAATAGTTTTGGCGGAGATGACTAAAGAATAAAAGTGATAACGATTGCCTATCATATAAACAAGGAGCGAAGAAATTAAGCCTAAGTTATCAAAGCATGACACACAACCAATTCAAGCAACACAACATCCATTTCGATAAATGTAAAAGACATTGAACGTCAAATTATAGTATCGATGTCGCCACTGGCAATAGTATAGTTAATGTCGTTAGATTTACTGGGCGAGGCTCGTAAAAGTATTTTATTGTGCCTTCATCGGGGCGGCTTTATTGAATTGCACATCAAAATAATGGAGTGTTAAAGATCCCGCCTATTTGTTTGATTTTTATTCATGACTATAAACAAAAACGTCTTCACTCGGTTGAATTTTGTAAGTAGTTAAAATGCTGTAAAATGTTAAAATGGCTGTAACGACGACATGTGTAGGCGTGGTAGTATAAACCCTCTTGCAAATGCTATTTTTTATTTAAACGAGATTAAGGCAATCTCGTTTAAATAAACTCTACAGTCTACAAACATAGGGCACAATTGTGACAAAGTGATATAATATTAGAAATTTTAACAGTTACTGCTAGCTTTGTTTCATTTTCAATTCAATTTCTTCGTATGCCTCCAAATTTAAAAGAAAACGTAAGCTCGAATGACTGCCCTACGCTGGAGAGGCGTTTTTTATCTCTGCATTTCCTTCATAAATATGCCCCCTATTTAAAACGGCTACACAAAGTTTTTCTTTCCTCAATCTTGGATAATATTTTTGAAGAGCAGGTGAAATCACATACCTTTTTAGGTTTATCACATTTTTTTACGGTTTTATAACATTTATTATAAAATTAATAAAGCCCTCCCCCCTCGGGGTCTCCGGGTATCCACAACCTTCGATCTTTCTTTAATCAATTGAAATTAATTGATGTTACTTGATATACTTCGCATGTGGTGTTTACCGTTAATTAATTGTGCATTTAGCTATAGAAATAAACTGTTTACTAATTCTAATGAATGTATAAATGTAACAATTGCTGGTAAACCAAATAAATAAAATAAAAAATAAAAATAAAAGAAATCGTCCTATTGTATTGTAAAAAATTATCCTGTCATATTTTTGTCATCTTGATGAAAAAACAATGCTTTGATACTAATTCGTTTTTACAATTACCATTTTCTAATCGTTGATAGGCTATCAACGATTTAGAAAATTGACAAATTGTTAGGGGATTAAGATAAAAATCCACATAATTTCCCTTAAGTCTGTAAATATACAAGACAGAAAGAAAAATACATTAAACGAACAAGCGAAATTTCCCCAAGCAAGAAAAATTTTAAAGTTTCAAATATATTAAAATCTGTCATAACTTCTCTAGGGTTTTAAAATTGATTATGATTTGAGATAATTTGTATTAAAATTACTCTCCCACTTTCTTATCAAATAACTTGTCATCAGGTTCCAACCGAAGTTGTCGGTATTTCCAAAGTTTTCGCAGGCGTATGTTCTTCCTTCACACCTCAATTTAGATGTTTACGATCGAAGTTACGAAGAAGTTGTAATTTAATGTTATGAAAGTCCCAGTTCAAGCTGAGGAACTAATAAATGTAAAATTAAATTACTTTTGAACAGTTTTATCTGCATTACATAAATAGTTCAAATTCATATTAACCTAATCAGTAATTTCTTTTAATGTCACAAGAAATCACAGGATGGATGAAAGCTATAACAGTTCTTTTATATAGGTAGCTATTATAAGTATTAGGCATTTTATGCATACGTCCAAAATCGTATATCCTACGATATTATACAATTAGAAAATATAGGAGGAATAATTAATTGATCCTTCCATAACATAGGTATACAGAATAATTACATTTCTTTGATCATGTTATTGTGATAAAAACCATGTAGGATGTAATCCTAATCATAGAAGTTATTGTAACTATACATTGGAAGCTACACTCAAGTATTTTAATGTGGCTGGGCTACCTAAATTAAGTTATTTAAATTAATAATTAGGGGAAATAATTAAAACATATGTTTCATATCTTTTATTTGGTCAAGTGCAAAATAAATAACCTTAATACAATAACACTTAAAGTAAATTAAATAAGTTATTACTTATATTAAAATAAATAAAGTCGACGGGCTCGCGAACGATGATGATCTCAGAATTTACTATCAAGAACACTTACTTTACACTTATTACAATTAACTCTCTAAAGAGGGAGCAGATGCAATGCCTTAAATCCTGACCTTTTGTAAGAATGAAAAGATGGAGGGACTTAAAGCTGAGAATTCGGTCCAAAAATTTAAAGCACTGCGACTGCGCGAAAACAATTGCTAAATGTCAGATTGCCACTTCTTAACGTTAAATAGAACGGGACCAAGTTAACGTGGCAATCTGACATTTAGCTGTTTACAAATTAAAGCCACTTGGTCGAGCATTCGTCCGGTTTACGTTCAAATGTCCAATTTTGTTACTGATTAGTTGGCATGGCCATAGTTGGGCCGTACATCTGCGGCATAGCGTACATGGGCATTGACATAGACGCTGAATTGTTTAGCGGCGGTCTTTCTGGTGGGCCGAATAGGATTCTGAAGTAGCGCGCGAGGTTCCATAAAACATTGGACGTCTCCGGTACCCTGTGTGATACAACAATGAATATGCAATTAAAACAAAACGGAATTGATATTTGACAAGGGACAAAGAAATCTCAATGGCGTAATTTTTTCATATTATTAACTCATGTTTATTGTAAAAAATTATTGAAAATTGTCTCCTTTCATCTAACATAATTTTATCTTAATCGTCAGAAAGCATTCAAAATTAAGTAATTTGTAAAATAAACAATTTTCAGTAGTTGTTTCTAAATATTCAAATACAATAATTTATATTCACAAAACTTTATTGAATAGAGAAGCCTTGAAAAATAATCGTTATTCTTACATGACCGATACCTATTTTTTACACGTGGTGACTAATCTAAATGCTTAAATAAATGCAATAAGTCTATACACTATATTTTAAATACCAACTAATAGTAACTACATAGAATTCTTAATTTTAAGAGAACCCCTACTAGAATGTACTTGTTATTTTAATTTTTGGTTCTTTTACTCCGTCTTTGGATTTTTTCTTTTTCTTATTTTTGTTCTTTTTCATGAGACTATCGAAATACTGCTTTTTGATTTCATCGCCCAAATCAAACAGACCAGCTATCGCATCAAGACAATACATCACCATGTTATGTGCAAACGTATAATACTTGGGCGGTGTTTTCTTTTTCACTGAATCCTCAAAAAAAGACTTAGTGTACTCTTCGGCATGCTTAAAAATAAATGAGACAGGGTCAAAAAGTAGCTCAATAAATGAAAAAAATCCCCTGCTAGAAATTTCGCGGCTTCTCTCCTGCTCCGATTTTCGACCATAAAATAGATTTTTCGATATACCAGTATCTAAATCCTTTGTGTTCCTCTTTGGACGTGAGTTTTTTCGTTTCACGTTTTTCCTCTTAAGTTTCTTACTAGATGTTACGTTTAAAGGCTTTATCGTAGGTGGTATAACAATAGGCTTCCAATCACTCGATCCGCTTATGATATCATTATTTTCCAATTTCGTTTCATTTCTTTTCATACCTCTCTTTCGATATTGAGTCAACCTACTATTATTAGGTTTTGTAGCAAATACATTAGGATTAATAACATATTTCACTCTAGGGTAATAAAACGTGAGCGGGTAGTTGAACTTATACTTTTTCGTCTTAACATATTCGTGTAAATCTTTGTTTTGTCTAAGTCTCTCCAGATTGACTTTCAGTTCGGTATACTTTTTTGGTCTTGGCGCCATTCTGTAGTTCGTTTTCCGTTGGGCCATATTTCTCGGCTGTGGAACGAGGAACTCTTTCTTATTTTCTTCATCAGCATTCGTCTCGCTGCTGGTCGTTGTTACATCGTAACCAAGTCCGCGAAAGGTTGCCGGCATCGCGTAGAACACGTTTGCTATGGGCTCTAATACGTTCCTCACAGAGCCAAGAATCGGTTCAAGAAATTTTAGCAATTTAGACTTACCATCCCATCTCTCTGAAGCGGATCTTGTCGAGTTTAGTAGCAAGGTCGGCGCTTGCTGCGATTGCTGGGCAGTTACTTCGTTTTGATGCAGAATCTCTTGCGATTGAGATTGAGCGCCCAGACCCGTTGGGTTATACATCTCAGGGGAGGCGAATTGCGGATTGACTCCGTTAGCGGAGTACGCTTGCGACGATGCGCTCGGGAAATCGATCGGATATTGCGAGTACAGATATGGGTTATTTGGCAAACCGACGCTGCAATTCAAAAAAATTTCACCGTGAGTGTCTCTGATTAGTTACACTGCGCATTTCGATGGTATGTCATTTTTGTCAAAGTCGGATGTCATCACAATGATCACTTGTCATAACTATAGTCGCTTATGTCACAAGTTGTCAATTTATATTTCCGTCTGAGATGAATTGTATGTTTGTCTATTATTAAATATTATCTGATTTTCTTCAAAATCGATTTTGTTTTTTCATCAAAAGAATGATATCAATATTTCACTTCCACCCCAATGCCGAGGGCTTGTTCGTTTACGTTAGGAGACGTAAGCAAGAAAAATAAGCGTTGTCGACAGTAATGTTACCCTTTGATTCTTTTGACGTGTAAGGGATCTGCACTTGCGATTATTTAATTTCTCTTATCAATTTATTAGGCTCAGAAATCTAACCCAAGGTCAGTCATGAAACTGTATTAAAATAATATCAATACTAATAATACATTTAAATTACATTAAGTAAAGTCGGAATGAGTCATTGTGTCAAAAGGCTTCGGATAAAGCTTTATGATTTTCTAAATACTTATGTCACAGTTATTATAAGATAACTTCTTTCGAGAAATATCTCGTGTCAGTATAATCGTGTCTACGGAATACGTCATAATGTGCAGTTATTTACAGTCCATATATAATATTTACTATTGTTATTACCCATGTGCTTATCAAACCACAAGCAAAAATACTTAAGATTTTAATAAATTTACCATTATTGTGCTAAAAGATATTTCCATTCATGTTTGTTCAAAGGCACTTTACATAAAGATCTATTAACTTTAGGGCTATTGGAAATATACAAATACTTTTACACGGCTATAAAGAGGGATTTGAAATATTACTCACAGAGAGTATGGATGTGCCTTTACACGCAAATATAAGTGACTGAGATAATAAGTGCGTTCTAAATACTCACCCATTACTGTAACTTTCGTACAGTTTCTTCATAGCCATGCCAATTGTAACCATGAGCGCCAGTTTGCTCGCGAAGAATGCCTTCAAGGTAATAGCGGTCACTATCGCCATTGCAAACATCACTGCCCCCGTCGACTTCATGCCGAACAATAGAGGAATGACCGCCTGAAGTACTTTTCGCTTATGTACCTTTTTCCGTTCTGTAATATAAGAAAACATTCGCTTAAATACAAGTTATTTCAAAATATGGCACATATTTTATGGTCAAAATATCACATTTTTATATTTGCAAAAACTTAAGATAATTTTTTTTTTAAGATTCAAATGTCATTTGTTCTGTTCCGATGGACAGTGATAAGTTCTAAGCTCTTAACGATGTTTAAAAAGCTCCAGGAAATTTAAACTTGCTTTGCATTATCCCGATATAATGAAACTCATAAGAAGCTATGAAGAGATGATCATGGAAACTAAGGAGGCGGAAGTAAAAAAATTGTGGTCTGCATTTGTTATATTAACTTTAGATATTTTCCAACTATTTTAAGACAAGTTAACAAATGAAAGACCGGTGACGAGGACCAATTTACACGCAATTTTCTCTGTTTGACAGCAGAATTTACTAAACGATTGCATTAAAAAAAGGTTTTTAAGTTGCCTAATATAGGTAGATCGTGTATTAGGTAAATTTGATAAAATTGTTTTTCAATCGTTCTATCCTTAACGAACATTGTTTTAAACTTTTATGCTCGAATATATTTCTGAGAAAATTTAATTCCGAAATAATTCGGAGCGATAGAATTTAAATTCAACACACATACGCTCATTGGAACACGTGTAGAATAATTGTTATGAACACCCTTCGTTTTCTGAATATAATTATACACGTTTTTAAAATATCAGTTCGTTAGCAAAACACGCTCGAATTGGATTGTCGAATAGACGGCCCGTAAAAATTCTACACGCTGGTGATTTGCGATGGTCGTGGGTTCAATTCCCAATGGATAATAGGTAGTACTGTGGATTTTCCATGCGTAAGAATTATATTTTGTGTAGCTTTGAAAATATTAACACACATAAAACATGGTAAAAAATCTAAACACCCTTAAGGTAAGGCCAACATAAAAATCCATGGAATTATAATTTAGCTTTCAGAATTTTTGGTTATTATAAAATTCCCTACAATCGCTGATCTCTTAAACGCCAAAATAGAAATATCAATACAAATGTCATTTAATTTATCAAGGACAAAAATACCTAAAAAATAAATAAATACCCAAAAAGCCCTGTATTTAAAAATAGTAAATATGTAATTTACTATTTTTAAATACAGGACATAATGATTTTAAGGTATTTATTTATTTTTTTAGTTTTTTAGTATATAATAAACTATTTCCTGCTAAAAATAGGAAAGCTTTTTTAAAAAAAAATCAGGCCTTAGCTTTTTATCTTTCATTTTGGATACATATCGCCAAGTCGATATTCATATCGCTACTATTGGTATTAAGGTATCGTCTATAAATCGATACAAAAGGACCGACTTTTTATGCTTTTACAACACAAATCATAAAACTATGAAAGCGTGAGCACTTTGTTTACTATAAAAGCGGTAATTTACGACCCACAGAATACACTCTGTATATTTCGTGTTTTCATTGATGTTTTAGGAATAGCTGAATTGTAAATTATAACCATTGTGATTTATGATAAGAATAAATTCTCTCGTGGGGACATTCGAATTAATCTTTTTTGCACCGAATTTTTTGAAATGTCCTAAAAATATACAGTTGGGCTCCATTCTTTCTAAATTAATTTATTAGGGTATAATCTTTTGCAAAGACCTGTAAATATATACCTAGTTAGACTTCATATGTTTTCAAGAATGAACTCCATTTGTTTTCAAGAATGAAATAATATTTTATGTTTTGAATGAAGGTGCATTATAATATACTTCAGTACTTATCTTTTAAACATCATTTATTTTCACCAGAAATACGACTTTAGAATAATTTGTTATAACCTTTATAAAATATTAATTTCGATAGAATAATACTCTCAGTTTTGTATTCTGTGTGGACGGGGTTGGGTAGTATGTCCCACCGACCACTGTGACCTAGTAGAAAATATTGCCTTACTGTATTATACTGCCGATTATACTGTTTTGTAGGGAAGTTTTACATAAATTTCACTTGGATAAACACCCAGAGCCGCAACAATTATCTATACAGCGTGTCGTTACCATCGCGCCATCGCGACAATAAATGAACACACGTCTAACGCTACTTGCCAATAATCATAAAAAAATATAAATGTAAAAAAAATCCATCATTAAAAAAAATATTTTTCAAACAAACTAATTAAGTAAAAAAGAAAAAAAATTTGTAACATCCTTTACAACTTCAACTGACTGATTCATACATTCAGAGACTTTTTCATTCGTTGCCACAGCGTCGCATTACAAGCCTCTCCTTCTGACAGTATGTTTTTGGGTCTTTTAAATTCATTCAACCCATTCATATGCTTTGTGACCTTTACAAATGAACTTTACGTTACAGTTTTATACCTAAGGGTGTTCTAAAATTCTTTATTTTGGTTGCTTAATTTAATAAGTCTGTAAATATTGATGTTTAAAAAATTTACATTTTTAATACAATTTAAAAAAGTTTTCCTCTATATATGTGTTCCTTTATGGTCGCGATTGTAAAGACACGCTGTATATAGTATAAAAATATCAGTGGGTCACACAAACAGTTGTTTCGTGTAGAAATCGAACCCATGACTCCCAGCCTGAAACCAATATCTTGGCAACTGCGCGGAGTTATCAATCAGTTGGATCCCCATGAATTGAAACATGTTTGTGATATAATTCAAATTCAGTAACCAAAGATTAAGTGGACGATAGTGGCAATGTCATGGACCATGGAGCGTTCTCCAGTCATAATGCTGGTTGGAGATGGAAACTATTTTACGACAGGAAATAAATACGACCGTGCACTTTATTATCTCCCGTGTTTACTAGCATGGTACCGATGTTTTCGTTGATAGGGACCGTGTCTTGATTGAAAGCTGACATAATTCGTGAGTGAACATTTTGAAAACCTTTGTTGTGAGTTTTTTTTTATTTATCTAAACTTTATTTTTTTAATCTTAAGCTAAGGGCTACAATGGTCGGATTTAATGCCTAATGGCACTCTCTACAAGTCAACCCATATTATGGTTAAAAGAAGATAGCAGGTGCTAACCGAACCGTAATAATTAAGACGTATATAATAAATTTCCTCTGAAAGCAATATTAAAACAAAATATGTAGGTACATAAATGAAAACAAAAGTTGTCTTTTTAAATATTGCATTACATTTGATTGCCATTTTGATTCATAAAATTTCGGATGAGATGCACTGGTTGGTCAAAGCAATAATTACTCCAAGGAACTAAAAGCACAAGCTATAAGATACATTTATATAACGTAACGTAATGTATATGTATGCAGTTATTGGTACATTCATATAGCTCGGTATGTATGAACATAGTACGGTAAAGTAAAACCATTTTAATTTTTTACTTACTAAGATGCCGTGTAAAGTGTTTTAAGGCGATAAATGCCGACATGAAAGGAATCCGTGAAAACATGTAAATAATTCAGCAAATGGACGTTTACAAGAAAGCCAACTGTTCCGACCGCGCGAATACACGTACGTACGCACGCGAATTTAGAGATCGGTTCGCAGAAAGAAAAAGGTGAAAATCCATAAATTAACAAGTGATTAGATAAAAGGAATCCTGTTTAATTGCCCCTAGTTGTTTTTATATTTTATTAATAAGTTTTTTTTTTTTAACAAGCGTTACAAAAACAAACGATTTTTATTTTATTTTTTGTTCCGGAAAAGTGCAGTGTATTACTATGAGCAGAAATAAAATTATAAAATTTTAGACATGTTAAACAAAGCTTGGTTAGGATTTGTGATTGCGTTTATACGAAGAACTGAGTAGCCGTTTTCATTTTCAAAGCTGTATTAATGATAGTTATATAAGCACACATAAGCAAATTATAGCATTTATAGAAGCACACGTTTCATAATACGCACATTATATATAATACCAAAGAAAGTGAGTTACGAATGAAACATGAATATAAAAGTTCGAAGAAATAAGCAAAGCTTTTGCTTCAGGTGCAAAAACAACAGCACGTTTAAGATATACGAGCTTCAGGTAAATAAATGTTGATCATAAAACTGTTTACTTCTGCCGTAAAAATATCTGGAGAATATTTTACTAAACAAATTACATATGTTATCTTTAAAAAAAAGAATGTATATTTTTTTTTGCCAAACTTGCACTATCATTATAACTACGAAAGTTGGTGTATTCACCAACTAAATAAATCAATTTGATATTTCAAAAAAAGTTAAGCCGCTGAAACTAGTAAATCGAGATCCTTAAAATTTGTAAAAAAAACTTTTTGTCTTTTTTTCAACAATATTTACATTTCATGTTCAAGTTCAAGTTCATGTTCAAGTGCAGAGAATAGCGCAATAAAATAACATCGTTTGTATAGAGACGGTAAAAATTACTTACTAATACGCATCTTTGGCAGTTTGTCCTCAGACGCATCTTCAGTTTTGCTAACTGATTTCTTCGGAACAGGCTCTGGTTCATCTGAAAGTACACGAACACATTTAATATAAACATCTCAGGTATTTAAAACAATAAATGTTAAAGGAGCCGTCAATGTTCTATATATATATATATATATTGTTATTATAACATATTTTTGGATTACTGAAAGAACTTCTGGGTGTCCGCAAAATTGAGATATATATTATCTTTATTGAACTTTAAGGTTGTAAATATATTTATATATAATCGTTAAAATATAATTTTATCACTCGTTTAGGTAATGGTTTATTATTTTTTTTATTTAATTAATTTATTTTATTTTTTTACATTTTAGAGATGACTTCGTGTAAATTAATTTAAATGGCTGTCGTTACTTTTAACAATATCTAAAGGCCTTATTCTAGTTCAAAATAAGAATTCTACATCAGCACCACAGTAATAGACTTGATCCTTTATTGACTTTTATAGTGTGCCTGGGAGGCACATAAATAACAACTCTTAAGTTACTTTTTCTAATGTTGGTAGGCCAG